GGTTTAAGGGTTTAGGGTTTTTGGCTTTAGGGTTTAGGGTTTAGGGTTTTTTGGCCTGTCCCTGTTGAAGAAACCGGGACAGTGCAAGAAGAAAACTGGTAAGAGCCAGGATTTCTGTCTGTTTTGCATCGTGGTCTGCAGAAGAGTGCTGCTGGGGACAAGAACTCACCGTAATACCCTAAACCCCAAACCTTAGACCCTAAACCCAAAGTCTCAGTTTTTCAAAAGCTCGCAAGAAAGCGAATTAGGGCCCACGGCTGGGGTTTGCAGATGTAGGGGCCTTCATAATTAGAATTGTGTTTTGGGGCCCAGTATACTATAAGCAGAATAAGGACATTATTGCGGCCCCTACATTAATTAGATGTTCCGACATTTTGGGGTTTGGGGTCTAGGTCCACAGCCAAACAACACGAACCGACGCCGAGCCGAAACACCCTAAACCCTAAACCCTAAACCCTAAACCCTAACCCTCCGACCTTGTGGGGCCTGGGAGACTTCGGGATTCCCCCCAAAAGCGCCTGAATGGGCGGGAAGTTGTCGCCGGATGGCGTGGCTGGCGGAAGGAAGTCCAGAATCCTTGGGAGCACGGATGTACTTCCTCACAAGGGGTGGTAGCTGAGGGTTGGAGATCCGAGTACAGGCCGTCAAAGCAGCCGGGAGTTGAGAAGTCAAGGAGTCTCAAGGTTTGGCGAGCTTGGCTTCAGATGGACGCAGTTCGGCAGGTGACTGTAGCTCAGTGAGCAGAACCCAGAGTTCAGGTTCAGAGTTTAGGGGGGGTTCAGGTCTGACGGGATTTAAGTACACATGGCATATATATATATATACATATATAGCAGCTTTGTGAAGTATATAGTATATACAGTATGTTAGTATAGTATAGTACAGGGTTTAGGGCCCTCGTGCGCCTAAACCCTAAGCCCTTTAACCTTAAACCCCTAAACCCTAAACTCCCAATCCCAAACCTTCAAGCAAACCGACAAAGAGAGATTGTAGGTGGTCCTTATTATGTATTTTCGTAAGCCCTGTCAAAACCGCATAAAAACCTGGACCTGAACAATACACAATTTCTATAAACCCCAAACCCTAAACCCTAAACCCTAAACCCTAAACCCTGGCAGCCGGAGCTCAAGATCGGCACTCGCACGTGCCAGTCCAAGCGAGTCTCCTCCGGACTTCGAATCAGTAGAGTTAACAGTTTAGGGAGGGTTTAGGGTTTAGGGTTTAGGGTTTAGGGTTAACATGTTCCCTTCACGGGATCTATAAGTGAGTTCCTAAACGGTTTTAGTCAATTGGGTTTGGCATCTATACCTAAACCCCCAAAGTAGATAGAATAATGGCCCAAAACCTCTAAAAGGCTGTTATTCTTCATATTTTCGGGGTCCAGGTAAGCCGTATAAGATCAAAGTCCAAACCCTGAACCCTAGACCGATATAAGGATCGCGCCCATATTTTGAGGGATGTGCTCAAAGAAGATTGCAAGGTTCAGGGTTGGAGCATCAGTGTCTGCCATACTCTGACGATGGGCACAACCACAGATCATGGGGCGAAGGAGGGAGGAAGACATACCAGACCTCGCCTAAAAAAACACTTAAAACTTCCTCCAAACCCCGAAAGCGAAACTCTAAGACACTTTAACCCCCTACAAAACGGTTGAATCTCAAAACATCAGGGTCGAAGCTGCCCGCTCGCTCCCAAAAAAACAGCCTCAGGATCAGTCCTTCACCTGGAAGCTCTCCGGCAGTCCCTGCATCAGTCTTTGCAGGTGCGACACCTGTACCTGTAGGCTCAGGCCTTTTTGGGCTTACAGGGGTTTACAGAGAGTTTTATGGTTTGCGGTTGTCTGGATTTTGGGATTGGGATGCCTATTCCTTGGTCAACTGAAAGAGAAAATCACCGGAACAGATCCACAATATCCACTGTTTTATCATGTCATTTGAGCACCGACTTCATGTCAATTCCCGCATGTGTGGCAGCATACGTACTACAAAAAGAATCGATTCTCATCGCGCCATGGCATGCCATAGCCGTATAGAGCACTGCAATGCTGTCAAACTAGAGTGTATCGGAAAGTTGTGCTGTTCAAAAACTGCACCTAGACTGCAGCTCTCTGGCGTTACAGACATGGTACTACATTCGCGCAAAAGCAGGACTGTATGCATACTGGGCTGGCAACCAGAGCAACAAACAACATGGTTTATGCTTGTATGAGTACGCATGAAAAACCTAGTCACTCTACTGCTGTGCTTGTTCATCCGCTGTGTGCACTGTCCGTGTCGTACGATCGCCCCTGCTGCGCCCTGGAGCATGCCACCCCTGCAGTTTCCTACTTCAAGCTGCTTCCTCTTCCGGGTCCACCTGCAAGCCTGGGAAGTCAAAGTGAGAATTCGAGCAACTAGGGCCTGCCCAGACCCTCAACCCTCAACGCTGAACCCTGAAGGTCCCCTATGTCAACCCCAATTTTGCAACATCCCCACAACATCACCATCGCCCCGGGGGTTTAGGTTTCCAGCGCCTTGTGCCAGAGGTGACCCTTGCTTTGGTTCCCCATGGCGGCCGTCGTGATGTAGAGATCCAGATCGGAGCCTCTATGGGTCTTCAAAGGCTCTCTACAAGTGCTCTTTCAGGGGTTCTAGCAGGATGCTACGAGGCTTCTGAAAGGATGATACGACATTGATATGAGGGTTCTACAAGGGCTCTTTCAGGGTTCTATATGAGCTCTTCAAGGGTTCCGCCCAAATTTCTTCATGTTTTGCGGCTTGGGGCAGTTTAGGGATTAGCGGCTCAGGGTACAAAGGCCCTAAACCCGCGGGAAGAACCCCCCCCCTGCCTTCCAAGAAGGTGCCTTGGAGAAGCGAGCCAAATGGCTTCACCTGACCATGGGCTTTGGGGTTTAAGTGTTCAAGGTTTAGGGCGCGGCCTAGAAGCCCCTTCGGCCCAAGTACAAAAAGAACTGTCTTCAACAAACCTGTACACAAGCAGGCTTACACGATCATGAGAGAATGAGCCACACTTCCCAAGGACCATTCAGTAGGGCTCAGGGTGGTTCTTCTCCGGGTTAGGAGCTAGACTTTCTGCAGCGTTCTTAGGGGACTCTTTGGGGTTTCAGCCCTTCGGGATTTCATTCGCTGTAAGGCAGGGAGGCCTTCGGATTTCTATAGGTGCTTAGGATTTGAGGGCTCGGGGATTTCTTGGGGGGGTGCGAGTCATGGTTTCTGATATGGCTTCGCATCACTCGCATGATTCTTCTTCGTTTTTCCCCCTGGTACTCCCAGAGATGGAGCTGATCCGAGGTCAGCTTTGGGAAAGGCATAGAGGAAGCCCAAAAGAAGTGCCATGAAGGAGCCTTGGCAACTCCCCACTTTCACTTGGCGACCTTGTGAATATGTGCTTCCCTTGTAGGTCGAAAAACCCAATCTCATCCGTAAACCTTCTATGCTTCGACGCCCGACCTTGACCCCAACTCTATTCCCGGGCCCAGAGAGCTTGGACCACAGGACTTTGATAAGAACAGTGTTTTAAGTCTTTAACTTTCAGTATAATACGACATGTAGAGACTATAAGGGGATATTGCAACTATGACTGCGAAGGAACTATATGGGTGATATGGAAAACATGACTACATAGTGACTCTGAGGAGATACTATTTCTATTTCTCTTGCCTCGGCATCGGAGGACAGACACCTGAGTGCCATCTCCTGGCCAGGGTGGCGTGGTTTGGTCGGCTTTGTAAAGCCGACCAACAAAAACTCACCCTGAAATGTCAAGCCGACTGCCAGGAAGGCGGAGTAGGTTCGCGAAGATTTAGGAGAAACGGCTTCGGGTTCCAGCTTAGGGTTTGTGAAATCAGGTGGTCATGCCGTGGTCACGTGGCATCCGCTCTTTCGATCTTAGGGCTTCGGGGGGAATGTGGGGGTTTCCGAAAATAGAGGACCCTAATATAGTACCCCAAATAGTAGGATCCTTATTATAAGGACCCCCAAATAAGGAATCCCTTATTTTCGGAAACTCCCATGTGCAACACCACGCCTGGACGAGTGCCAGGGCCTCCGTAAGCATGGCCTGAACCCGGGACAAGAGGAAATCCAAAGAAAACTTAAAACCGAAAACTGATACATGGTAGCAATAATACTATTATAGACAGTATAACAAGTAAAGTAAGAAGACTAGTCATAAGTTAATACTCATAATATCACGATGTCTCACATGATTACACCTACCAGTAATATGACAGGCCTCTACTTCAACCCGGAGCCTTTGATGTTGGGGGCCCTAAACCCTAAACCC